GTTTGCTCGCAGAAAGCACTGATGATGTTACCTAGCTGGGTCACGAAATGCTTGCAAGAAATACCAAGTTTAGAGAGTACCAAGAACTCCCCAGTTCAATGCTGAGATACAAATTTTCTCTGTTACTCTATGTTCTACGTTCTTCTATTGAATTCAAGATGCCAGGGAGACATCAAATTAAGTGACTTTTTTTTTTTTAGTTTCAGAGGGTTGAGAGAAAAGTCACTGAAGACCAGCGATGTTGTATTTGCATCCAGAAAATGCTGAAATGATTTCCAAGGGGTGTGTGTGTGTGTGTGATGGTTTTGTGTAGGTTTCATCTGACACTTTGTTCCAACAAATTCCAAATTCTGACAAATATCTTCCAATCTTTCCCTCATGCACGAAGGGATGCTGTGTTGGGGACAGGACAAACCTGTTCACCATTAAGGTTTGACACTTGGAAAAGTACTTTTGCTTACAAGCAATGTGCACACGTACAGAAGCAAATGCTTAAAAAATGCGTGTGTGATTTCACCTCGAAAACTGAATAATGAAGTCATAAGTCACGAATGAAAATGCAGGGTTTCGTTACTTTACAGTCCTTTCCAAAGACACCAAAAGAGCTCAAATACATCTGCACAGTCGTTTCTAAAAACTTAAGAGGTCCCTTACCTTCGTTTTTCATGATATAATCGACTATCTGCCCCACCGTGTCGCTGTTTTCATTGACGCTGTCATTCAATTCTAAAAGTAAAACCAAAAAAACACACACAAAAAGTAACTTTAGTTCTTTGGTTCCTGGAAACAACGATAAAATTACGTTTTCCAAAAACAGCATATATGAAGCAGAGATTAAAACCACTATCTCTGAAAAAAGAGCTTGAAGGGGGGAGATTGTTATCGAAAGTTGGTATGGCTGAAAAAGCAAAACTAAAAGAATAAAGGAAGAAGGGTCATTTCTTCTTCTTTGTCTTATTTGGCAACCCCAAGATAAATAAGATGTTGAGACTCTGGAAAGAGTGCAGAGAAGAGCAACAAAAAGGATTAGGGGCCTGGAGGCTAAAACATATAAAGAACGATTGCTGGAATTGGGTATGTCTAGTTTAATGAAGAGAAGGACTAGGGGAGACATGGTAGCAGTGTTTCAATATCTCAGGGGCTTCCACAAAGAAGAGGGAGTCAAGCTATTCTCCAAAGCACCTGAAAGGCAGCACAAGAAGCAATGGATGGAAACTAATCAAGGAGAGAAGCAACTTAGAACTAGGGAGAAATTTCCTGACAGGGAGGACAATTAATCAGTGGAACAACTTGGCTCTAGAAGTTGTGAATGCTCCAACCCTGGAAGTTTTTAAGAAGAGATTGAATAACCATTCTTCTGAAATGGTAAAGGATCTCCTGCTTGGGGAGGCGGGGTTGGACTAGAAAGAAAGAAAGAGGGAGGGTGGGTGGGTGGGAGGGAGGGAGGGAAGGAGAGAAAAAGAGGGAAGAAGGGAAAGAAAGAAAAGAAAGAGGGAAGGCGAGAGAAAGAAAGAAAGAGGGAGGGAGGGAAGGAGAGAAAGAAAAAGAGGGAAGAGAAAGAAAAGGAGGAAGAGAGAAAGAAAGAAAGAAAGAAAGAAAGAAAGAAAGAAAGAAAGAAAGAAAGAAAGAAAGAAAGAAAGAAAGAAAGAAAGAGAAAAAAAGGAGATAAAGAGGGAAGAGAAAGAAAAGAAAGAGGGAGGGAGAGAAAGAAAGGGAGAGAGAAAGAAAGAAAGAGGGAGGGAGGGAAGGAAAGAAAAAGAGGGAAGAAGGAAAAGAAAAGAAACAGGGAAGGAGAGAAAGAAAGAAAGGGAGGGAGGGAGACAATGAAAAGAAAGAAGGAAGTAGAGAAAGAGAGAGAAAGAAAGAAAGAAAGAAAGAAAGAAAGAAAGAAAGAAAGAAAGAAAGAAAGAAAGAAAGAAAGAAAGAAAGAAAGAAAGAAAGAGGGGTGACATGATCACAATCTTCCAGTATCTCAGGGGCTGCCGCACAGAAGAGGGAGTCAAGCTACAGATGGAAAGCAACCTAGAGAGAACCAACCTAGAACCCAGGAAAACCCAAAACTATTCCTCTATGCCCATATAAATATGGAAACAACTTTTTATTTTATTTTTAAAATGGCTCTTCCTTACCTATCTTTTCCTCAAGCTGTTCATCTTCTTCCTCCGCTTCGGTCGTGCACCGATAGCCTTTTCTCTTCAGCACATGGCAAATCAAAACCCCCAACAGCCCCATAAGGAAGAATACTGGAATCAGAAAATAAGCGATATATTCGAGGTGTCCTCCTCCTCCTCCTCCATCTTTGGAAGAGCCATTTTCGGATTTATTTGTCGTGTTTCCGAAACTGTGGCTTGCCAAGGCTTTGGGGGTTCCTAGGGAAACAGAAGGTGAAAAAGGTCACCGTGTCTGTCAAATCTAGCCTTGGACAATGCAACAGGTCAAACATCTAGAGAACTGTTCTTTCTAATAGAAGAACTTCGAGCAAACAAGGTGGGCTCATCCCACTTCTCAGAGCCAGATGGCTTGGTGTCTCATTCTCTCATTCTCTCATTTTCTCTCTCTCTCTCTCTCTCTCTCTCTCCCTCCCTCCCCCCCCCCCCCTCCCCCCCCCCCCCCCCCCCCCTCTCTCTCATCTATCTTATTCAGACTATTGCAGCATAAATTCAGCACCAAAAAGGTAAACACAGATGGCTGAGGCTTCATTTAACTTCTTTATAAACACATAAAGTAAATTTTACAATACCAGTTGTAGATTTCTCCAAAATGGAACAAACTCAAACAGAAGCAGACATGTTACAGGTTCAGAGCAGAACAGCAACAGGAGCTCAGAAACAGACATCAGTTTCACTTTAGTTCAGCAGGCAAGCGAGACACACAGCAGAGGAGAAGCAGCTTCATTTTTAACAGACAGATTCGGAGCTCAACATAGCTTCAGAGCTGCAGAGCTTAATAGAGCCACGCCTAGGCTACTTCTAATTTCAGTTTCCAAATAGTCCTCATTGGTTGACTTAGTTGCTATGCCTATTCATTGGCTGGCCTTGTTACTATGCTCTATTCCAGTTCATGAATATACTCTGACATATCTATCCATCCATCCATCTATATCTACATATGTCTTATTTACCCGAAAATAAGACTCTGTCTTATATTTTTTTGCCACTAAAAAAGGCACCAGGTCTTATTTTTGAGGGAAGTCATCCACTGACTAACCTCACTCGTGTGTGTTGTCCCCCGGCCTTCTTTTCACTGTCAAAGGCCTTCAGGAACTTCTTCTTCTGTGGCTGGCAAGGGTTTCCTGAAGGCCTCTGCAGCTAATAATAGAGCTCCGGATCAATCCAGAGCTTTGTTATCAGCTACAGAGGCCTTCAGGACAGCCTTGCCAGCTGTAGAAGAAAGGGGCTGGCAAGGCAGGTGTTGGAGTGTGCGAAGCCTGGCTACAACTGTCCAAATGTAGGGTAGCTCCACCCCCACATCCCCACCCTAACTTAATTTTTACCAATGCACTCTGGAGTGGACGGGATCTTAATTAGGGCTTATTTTGGGAGTAGGGCTTATATTGGCCGCACATGTAAAAATCAAGCTAGGACTTACTTTCAGGGTAGGTGGTATTTTCAGGGAAATGGTATATATTGACATATTAATTTCATTTTACAGTCTTATATTTGTTTAGATACTTTCATTGTAAAGATCCTTTGGCCACAAATAAAAGTAGTCCTCGACGTACAGCTGCAATGGAGCTCCAAATTCCTATTGTTAAGTGAGCTTCGCCCCAATTTTATGACCCCATTGTGCAGTGAATCATTGCCGTTGTGCAGTTAGTAATACGGTCGTTAAGCAAACCCGGCTTCCCCATGGCTCGCCCAAAGGTCGCAAAAGGGGATTATGTAACCCCGGGACAACGCAACCGTCATAAATATGAATCAGTTGCCAAGCGTTTGAATTTCGATCCCGTGACCTTGGGGATGCCGCAGTGGTCATTAAGTGTGAAAAACGGTCATAAGTCACTTTTTTCAATGCCAGTGTAACTTCAAATGGTCACTAAAGGAACTGCTGTAAGTCGTGGAGTGCTTGGGCAACAATCTCCATAGCAGTGGTGGCTAACCTTTTAGAGCTCCTGTGCCAAAAAGATGTGCGCGCACTTGCACGCTCACTTGCCAGCACCCAGAAGGTAATGCGCACCCCCCCATGCCCCCTACACATGCGTGTGCAATCCCCACCCACCCACCCACCCCCTCACCTGCACTGCACCTCACAGCTGATAAACAGTGAGGCACCTAAGCATCATACATTTTGGTGCAAACAAAGATAATAACGTTAATCATATCTCTAATGTTAATACACATATTTGTATTAAATTGCAATCTTTCATTATTTCATCATTCAATATTCCAATACATTATTCTAATGCCAATCACCATATTATTTAAGTATACATGATAGTTTCATTATTCAATTCCTTCTTTCATTTTTAATTAAAAAAAATAAAAAAACACCTCTCTTTTGGGCAAGCAGTGTGGTTCCAGGTTTTTACATTTCAATATAAACATGACCATAGTAACATATTAGTCTTTCTTATTCAGTTTCATATCACATTATTATTTATTAATATTAAATTCATTAAACATATTTTATCCAATTTTAATTCTTAACTTATTTCATTTTTCTTGGGATATTCTCATATCTTACTTTACAATATTATCTACAATTCTTATTTCATTTTCTATATTAGCTTGGCCAAGCTTGAAGGAAGAGAGATCATATAGAAGTTAATGGAAGTGTGTCTTCAGCCTGCTATCCTAGCAGAAATATTCTGATTTTTGTGAGTCTTGGCTTCAAGGCTAGAGACCTTAAGATTGTCTCCTTTTAATAAGGATGAGGAGAATGTTGTGTAACCAAAGAGTTATTCCACTAAGCCAGAAGTGGGGAATCACGGCCCATTTAATGAATGACCTCTGAACTTCAACACCCAGAATTCCTGAGCCACTATTGGTGGCTCAGGGATTCTGGGAGTTCAAGTCCACAAGTCATAAAAGGGCCATTGCTTCCTCACCCCCCTACACCAAAGGTCTTCAAACTTTTAAGACTTGTGGACTTCAACTCCTACAATTCCTCCTCCAGTCATGTTAGCTCAGGAATTCTGGGAGTTGAAGTCCGCAAGTCTTAAAGTTGCCAAGCTTGAAGACCCTTGCCCTACACTAAACCATTCCATTTCGGCAAAGAATAAATAGCAAAATCCAAGTTTAATTTCCTGTTCAACCTTGAATCAAAAACAGAGAAATCCTTGGAAGGCCTGGATTTCAGGGCCAGGTTGGGGATCAGATCATTTTATTCCCTTTTCCCCAAAAAACTCAAGGTAACTTAGATGAGGGAGATCCCTTCGTTATATCCCAACCCCTCACCAAAAAACAAAATTTAAAAAAAATACTGATATATATATACATGTTGGACTGGCCTAAAGTCACCCAGGGAGCCCAATATTATAACCACCGTACCAAATGGTGTTTACAAAAAAAAAAGCAAAGTAAAAAATATCTTTATTAATAACTGAAAATCCAATAAAAAAATAAACCAGCAAGTGGAAGGAATTAGATTACAGGCACCAGTAAAGATGATGTCAGATCACCTCCATAAAAGGAAAAGAAGGGAAGGGAAGGGAAGGGAAGGGAAGGGGGGAGAGGAGAGGAGAGGAGAGGAGAGGAGAGGAGAGGAAAGGAAAGGAAAGGAAAGGAAAGGAAAGGAAAGGAAAGGAAAGGAAAGGAAAGGAAGAGGGGAAGGGGGAAGAAAAGGAAAGGAAACAGAAGAAAGGGAAGGAAGGGAAGGGAAGGAAGAGGGGAAAGGGGAAGGAAAGGAAAGGAAACAAAAGGAAGGGAAGGGAAGGGATAGAAGAGGGGGAAGGGGAAGGGGGAAGAAAAAGAAAGGAAAGGAAGGGGACGGAACAGAAGGAAAGGAAGGCAAGGCAAGGAAGGCAGGGCAGGGCAGGGCAGGAAAGGAAAAGGAAAAAGAAAAAGAAAAGGGGAAAAAATATTTCAAACCAAGTTCTCCTCCGGAAGACTTCTGACTAACTCTCAAAAGCTAAAATTTACCCCAAAATATTTAGTTGGAGTCTTTTCAATCATGTCCAGTAAGCTGGACTTTCCAGAAATGAGATCTATTTCCGCCGTGCATCAGAACAGTTAAAATGCATTGTTTTTCACCTCCTGCTATGAAGTTGGACACATTTCAAACCTGGACAAATCCAGGAAACGTATTTCCTCTAGAAATCCACAAGACTCTCTATGGACATTAGAAACACTAAGTTTTCTTTTGGCTTTTTAGTTTCGAGAAACCGGAATTTTCTTTTTTCCTTGTCATTACCATAAAGGCTACAAAGGGTGTGTTTTTTAAAGAATCAGTTACCTACTTTACAGTATGAATCAGTGCAATTCGCTGCTCAGGTTGAAAATCAAAACCCAACGCCTCCTTTCTCTGGACTGATTTGAAGTCACATGTAGGTAGTCCTCAACTTACGATCGAAATTGAAATTCCCAACATTTCTCTTGGGAAGCGAAACATTTTGTTAAAGAGAATTTTGCCGTATTTTATGACCTTTCTCGCCACTGTGATGTCAACTCACAAAATATTTCTATGGTCTTTTTAGAGTTGCCAACAGAAAGGGAGGGGGGTGCAGTGCGGCAGCTTGCAAACCAAAACTGCATTCCACAAATGTTTTCAAAGATAGTAACTAGGTGACTAGTGAATCACACACATGACCCGGTAGTAGGGAGTCATTTTTAAAAGAATTGGCTTTGCCTTCGAAGGTGAAGGGAAGGTGGCGATAGGAGCGCCTGAAGCCGAGTGTCTCCACTGGGCTCCGGTTGCAGGGAGGAGCCCTAGCTGGCCGCGCGTGGTTGCTCTAAACGCCGTGGCAGCACGGGGAGAAGGGAAAGCAACAGTGGCGGAAGGTTTCCTGATACGAAGTGCCCCACCAACGCTGAGGTCAACATCCAAGCGGTCGCCGCCCGCCCGAGGATGCAAGGGAGGGGAATTAAGTCACCCCCGAAAAGATGGCCTAGCCGTTTTTTGGGGGGTCAAAAAAAAAATAAGGCCCGGCCTTATTTTGTGAGAAACACGGTAGCTCGATACCCATGCTTTGCTATGAAACTATGTGGTCGGGCTTAGTTTTGGGGGAGGAAAATAAGGAGGGAAACATTCTGCCTCTGCCTACCAGCATCCATCGTTATTCATCTGGCTAGCGTCCTTGTCAGTGTGTGAGAGAGTTGAGGAAACTGAAACTGTATTTGCTGTGTGAGCAAGGAGACAGCAAGGAGCCTGGGCATGGCTTAGCTCAACTGTTCTGTACTAAAGCTACTTGGTGTTGTGAAACTAAAACTGA